CCAAGAAAATACTCTAACACAACCAAAACAAAGGAGAGTTTCCAAAAAATATTTATTTACTTAATTCTTTCAATTGAGATATTCATTTCTAAAATAGCTTCAAACATTTTAAATTTATAATCAAAGAAATTACAAAACCGATTTTTATGTAATTTTTTTTTTTTTGTCCTTAAATGAGAAGCTTTGAATAGTGATAGCAAGCATGTAGACCCCACAAAAAGCCAAAAGGTTTTTCTAAGGTGGAAGAGAGCTTTATTTTTTTTATTTTAGGAGAAAAGTGCAGCACTTACCCATTTTCACTGCAGATAAAAAAAAAGTATAAACAGACACATTGACTTAAGTAAACATGACAACAACATCAATAAACAGATATACAGACAACAATAAGTTAATATTTAGAAAAATAAAACAATTAACAGGAATTCTATATGAATCCTACAACTCAAAATAAATATCACATTTTTGATATTTTCATCTGAAGCATCTGGTTTAATACTTTGTCCGTAAATACATTGACATTTTAATCTAATACATAAATATAAGATAAATAAATGCTAGCTTATGTTTATTATATATAGTTTTTGCTTTTTGATAGCTAGGTTCATTGCAACAAAAAGGAAACTTTGCTAAGACTGAAGACACTTTGGATTTGTCCATTAAATTTATAAACAAAACTGGCTGACAACATTATCCCTACAAAAACCCAATTAACAATTTTAGAAGCTTTATTCATCACAGTTTGAATTATAATGAATAGTCAACCAACAACACTAAATTATGCAGAAAATTATTTTTTGGCACATAATTATTATTTTTCTTTTTTTACACATTGATTACTTTGAGTGGGTCTTACATTAAGGGTTATTCATATTTCAAATACTCATTTGAATATATCATATACAGGCCTTATTATATATTGATTATATAATAATAAAATACTGTGTATGTATGTGTATGCACGTACAGCCAGGTTGTACCTGGGATATCAGCACCAAACAACTGAACAGAGATCCTAGGAAAGTAAGTCAAATAGGTTTATTCGAATTTGCAATATAGAAATCTTCCAGAAATTTTAGTTCAATTTATAATTTCTTTTAAAAGGTAAAGGGTGTTAACTTCAGAAACTTTATATTTTGAAGATTTTACAAGCATACACTCAAAAAAGCAAAACATTATTCTTACCTAGTTGTATAATACAAAAAAGTTTCTGAAAGTTGATGAACTTGATCAAGTCCGAGACAATTGCAGATATTTTTATCTGAACTTCTATTCATCAAAATTTCCAAAACCATTCAACAAAAATATTTTAATATTTTTACTATTTTTGCAAATGTAAAATTGTGACACTAATCCCTGAGCTTGTTTTCAGATTAACTCTCTACAAGGATAATTTTAAGAGATGAGAAAAATAATCTCAAGAAAAACAATTCCAACAATAACTTGTTCATTAATAGAACTTAAGAAAAGTATTTTCTTTTCCTCTGTCCTGGGTTGTCCGCCATCACCTAAATATTTTTAAGTCTTTTGTTGTAAACACAATCATTAACTTTTTATGGTCTCATCTTTTAGCATAACAATTTTTATTTTCACTTTTTCTTCAAATCAACAAAAGTTTATATATATATATATATATATATATATATATATATATATATATATATACACACACAGGCACACACCTGGCTGATGGTAAAATTGGTCACTTGAAAAATAAGTTTTTGAATTAAAAAAAAAATAAAACAAATTTTTTTAGTTATTTTATTTAGCAAAATATTAGAAGTAAAAATCCAAACATGACTGTCCTAAATTTGTCTACATTTCTGTTTTGGACTGATTATTTTTTAGTTTAATTATACTTTATCCTCTTCAAGATTCTACAGGTTATAATCCAATCATTTTATGGTATTTCATTGGCAAAGTAAAACTAACAATAATTGAATTATTTCCCAGACTCAAACCAAAAAAAAAGTTTTTCTGTATTGTTACTATGTCCCAAGTTTGTATTAGAATCGATAAGATAATGAAATATTATATTTGTCATTTTTTATATAATAACTGTGTGCCTTTTGTTAACAGTAGTATTTAGAGTTTTTTTCTTTCTTAAATAAAAAATTAAATTAATCTAAACAATACAGTCACGTCTGTCTTATAATTACTCTACCAAAATAGATTACTAAGTTTTGCCTCCAACTGGAAGAAAATGTACACTGTGAAAATGTGAAATAACAACCAGTGAAAATTTGCATGGCATCATCTTCCATAATAAGATTTCCTAATATTATATTGTTACATACAGAAACATTTTTCATTTGGTAAATATAAAATTTACAGCTTTTTAATGGTAATGTGACTTTTAGGACACCCTGTATAAAAAAAATTAAATGTATAGTAAAAGTAAGTCAATTAAAAACACATTTGTTACATTAAACATTATGATAAAACTCAGTTTAAAATATTGCAAGAAAAAATTACCTCAATACAAACACAGAAACAATTTTGTTATGAAAGATTAAAAAAAAAACTGAAGATAACTACATTTTGTAGTTCTTGAACTTGTTGAAAATTTATTTTATTTGTGATAAATACAAAAAGACTAACTTGTTTTTATGTTGAATTTTAGCTTGAAGTATTCTTCAGAATCATGAATATATATATGTATTAATCACAGAACTTAAAAACTTAGCTAAAAATAATACTAGTTTCAAATTTGAGTTTTATAAGAGAAAAGAATTTTAAGTCAGACTATTTAGTACTTAAAGTTGAAAGTTACATTTTTTAATTTATGCAATGAAAAAAAAAATCAAAGTCTATGAAAAATCTAATTTGTACAGATAAAATTTAGTATGGTTACTACATCAAATTTTCAACCAGTAAAACACTGACAAGGCATCTGTGTTTTGAATGTAAGCATTGATTTATATCTTGTATCAGAGTTGTAATTCATATCACACACAAGTAATTTTAATAACTACTAAAAAGTAAATTGATTTTTTTTAACTAGGGATAATTTCAAACTGACTTTAAAATAATTCTTTTTGAATTGAACATTCTCCAAAACTTTTTCTGACATAACATTTTATATTTATGTATTTCTTTGCTGTATATCTTTTAAGTGACAAGCTATTTTGCACTTGCTATAGAAATCACAACACTATGTTATCTATTGCTACATTGACAAAATTATAAGACACTGAAAAGTTTCCATCCTATTAAATAGGTGAGGCAACTACTATGTATAAAGATCATGATCAAAAACCTATTGGGATAAGTCAGAGAGCATATCTGGCTAACAGATAAAAAGAAAGTGGTTAGCAAATAATATATATAGTACACATAGGCAAACTTGGTCCATAGCTTTTGGCTAGCAATTTTAGAAAAATTGAAAATAAGAGATATTTGTATATTTTTATTGAATCATCAAATAAGAAAAAGCGACATAACCTGAACATTTGTACAGCATTTCTTTGAGTATGCATATCAAAGAAAATAGACAATTCAGGTAAATGACAATCTACATTAGAATTAGTTAATTATACAGAAAAAAAATCATGCAATAAGTCATTACTTTAAACTTAGATTTTAAGGAAAAAAAAAAAAAAGAACTTTTATAAATCAATAATTCATCTTTGTATCAACACTACAAAGTACACTCACCAATATAAAATACAATATTTTCCTATTATTTAGCAACACTGAAAGGTTAAAATTAAGTGCTTGTTCACTTTTATCAAAATTCTAAAATGTAGTTTCTTTGCAACATTTATAAAAATGTTATTTTATACATTTTGAAGTCATCAAATTAGGGTTGAAAGTTGCTTTGTGTGTGTTACATTGACATGAAATAGATGCTCTCCATTATCTAATAGTACATTTACTATCTCCTTTCATCTTTAAAGCATTAAAAATGCTTTTACAAATGAAATTTACTTCACATTGTTTACTTCAGATTTTGGAAATTCATTTTAACTCAAGTCACATCAACTAGCTTTCCCAGTTATAAATGCATGTGAGTGCACTTGATGCTGTTTGGAAAATGCACCTTTCAAAATTTAGCAAAAAATGTAAAATCAATATAGATTTGTGCAATTATTTGCTTGCAGTTATAGTTTCCAAATAGATGTATTTAAATTCTGACCAATCAGTATAGGGCTAATATATTTTAATTTAAAAAAATAAAAAATTATATATATATATATATATATATATATATATATATATATATATTAATTACTATAGTTATCTGTTCAGCTATTTGTAACACAATGAACAAATGAATTGCTTGATGCATAAATGCTAAAAATAATTTAAAAGTTTGTTATAATTATTAAAACAGTCAAAATAGATGAGGTTATAATATAAAAAGTCCTTGATTAATATAATTCAGGCTAAAAAATATTATATTAATCAAGTTTGTATTAAAAATGAATACTAGATTTGTCAAACTTTATTTCTTGCAAGATAAAGTGTCCACATCCTTAATGAAACTAACAAGTTTTAAAAGTACTTGTAAAATACAAACTGTATGAAACAAAAAATGATATTAAACAAAACATTATCCAAAATTCATTGGTTAAGTCAAAATAGTTTATTATATGGAATCAGAAATAAAGCAGACATAGTTAATGATTTCTGTAAAAATTATTCTCAAACATTTTATGATTATAATGAATTGTAATCTATCTTCATTATCAGATTTAACTTTCTCAAGCACAGAAAGAAGTCTCAGTGTTGTTCAAGTAGATTTGTGCAAGTAATTTTATATTGATCTTCTGTGCTTTAATTTTCTTCTCAGCCTTTGTTGAATGTCAACCTTCCTCAGATTCATGGCAAGGAATAGGTCATTAACATACTACACTAGCACAATGTGTATTGTTAGGAGCAAATGTGACATGCTTGGTCTGATTAATGACAGACCAAGGGTATTTGAATAAGTGAATGTAATGAACCTGAACGGAATTTGAGCTCAGATCTTCTGTTTCACATCCTAAGCCTTTATCTGTTGCACCATATGGTATTCTCATAAGGTTACCCATCTTGGTACTAACCAGGCTTGACATTGCTTAACTTAGTGATCGGATGAGAACTGGTGTTTCAACATGGTATGGCTGTAAGCTTTCAATTTACAATCATCTAAATATCAAGTCAATTAACTAAATTTATAAGCTAATTTTTTTTTTAAACTAATTCACATATTAATTCAAAGACATACTAATTAACATACTGTAATAAGCAATTTCTAAAGAATTAATGGATTTATTTTTTAATCCAACATTTTTATTACTTCAAACATTATTATAGTGGACACATTTCAAATTTTCTTTATCTGGATTTCTTGAATACACAGGCTGATAGATGTAATACACTGTTTAATAAATAATTAAAAATGGGACATCTATTTAAAATAAAAAGTGTCCACTATAATAACATTTGATGTGATAAAAAATAATGTAATGAGTTAAATATAAAATATTGGGCTGCATATAAATTTTATAATAATAATAGTACTTCATTTTCCTAATTTTTAAATATTAGATTTTTTTCAGGAATCCTTAAAAATAAAAAATAGGAAATGGAAAAAAAAGAATAAAAAAGGAAATTATTAGCATCAGTTTAACAAATTTAAAAAAAAAAAGAAGACATTTTCTTAGACAATGAAATATTTTTTCATGTCTGTAAAAAAACATTCATTAGAAGTAGGTTTCATCTTTGTAAGGTGAGTTCAGATAGATGCAGGTAATAAATTGGTGCAAATGAAAAAATAAATTGACAGGTGATTGTGTGCTTGAGATCTGCAGAGAAAATAAATAAACACCTTGACTGGAACCATTTCTTGAAGTCTGTCATAGTTTGAGGAGATTGGCACTTCTCTTTTCCAAACCTTGCCTGGATTTTTACTGGCTCACCAGGTGGAGTAGTAATTTGTTTGGTGGTGTAGGCCTTTGGCTTCTTGGTTTGACTTCTTAATGGAGAGGCAGCTCCTCGAGGAGCTGATGTTTGAGCAGGACTGGAGGGGAAATTTCGGTATTTTATTTAGCAGACACTTTTAAAAATAAAAACGACATTGCATTCCCAGAACAAAAATAAAACAAGGTAAATAACCTGAAAAATTTAATATCCAAAACAATTTCATTATCTGATAGAAAGAAAGTGTTTTGAATTTAAATGAAGAATTACTAACTTTTTAAGGGTTTCTGCAAATCTCTGTAAATCTAAAAATTTCTTTCTTAAAATCTAGTATAGAATTGGCAGTGATGTAAAACAATTATAAGATTCTTTATTCATTTATCATAAATTCAAACTTAAGGCCATCGACTGGGTAGGGGAATGAAATTCAGCTTTACTTGTTGATTCTGACATAAAATGGCTGTTCATCTCATTTTATATCCAGCTGTATTTAGGGTTATTGATGCATAGCAAAAAAGGTGGGGGTGTTGATAAAAATTTAAATAGGTACTCTGAAGTAACTTAAATCCATTCTTTAAATCAACCAACCCCCCAAATTAGAAAAAAAAAAAAAAGACTGGAACAACAAAAAGTAGATGAAAAATGTATTTCAATAGAAAGCCAATTAAAATAAACCAAAATTTATAAGGATGTAAAGAAAAAAGTAAAAATTTGCAACAAAAACAATTTTATAACATTTGGTTTTCAAAATAAAATTCAAAACCTGACGTTTTATCAAAATGATAAAAGGACATCATAATTCATATGTAACAAAATTATAAACAATGACTTCAAAGAACTTTTTATTATAGAGTTCAAGAGAAATATATTTTATCCAATCATTGGATATTTGATATATATTTTTATTTTTAAATTTCTAATAAAATAATAAAAAAATTAAACTAATTTTAGATAAAATATATATTTTAAAAAGCATATAGCATCCCAAAATTTTATAAACAGTTTTTTTTTTTTTTTTTCAGATACTCTGTAGTGTTAGGTTAAAATAGAAAGTTAAAGACTTTAAAAAATTCTTAGCAAATTGTTGCATGGACCAAAACAAAATTAAATAAAACATTTCACATGTGTGATTATCTTTAATGAAAGAAGAAAAAAGAATAAACTGAAAAATACTCATTACTTATTTTTCATCTACTTTTAAAACAAAGTGTCACTAAATTCATTCATTTTTTTTTTAAACTAACATCATTTTCATCTTTAATATCAAATTTGTATAAATCTTTTTTTTTAAATATTTTTTACCATTATTATATGATGCACTTCACATACAATTTTTTTTTCCATTTTAATGTTGAGGTGGAAATGTCAACTAAAATCACTTTGGTTAGCTGATGAGAAAATTAGACCATTATTTTTACTTATTTTTAAAATTGTGGGAAGTTAAGACTTAAATACCTCTTCTACTTACTTGAATAAATTTGAATTAAAATTAAGACTAGTTACCTAACATTTCAAGACCAACAAATCTCATTTCAAATAGATTTTTATTACTTATCAAAAGCTATTTGAAAATGCTAATAGGATAAAAAAAAGAAAAAGAAAACCAATAGACATTTTTGACAATTCTTTAATACATAGAGATGGCTTCAATGATATAATTCCATATGTATTCAAATAATAATAATACATCTGGTTTAATATTTATGATTTAACATATTTTTGTTTTCCGTGGTGGATGTTTTTCAAACAATCCATAAGAGTATGAAGGAATTTTCTAAATAATACTTCATTACAAAGGCTGACTTGAGATTTGCAGATTTTAATATAAGTAACTGTTGATATTTTTTTTGTGGCTAAAAGATATCTATATATATATATATATATATATATATATATATATATATATATATATATATATATATATATATATATATATAGATAGATAGATATAGATTAATGCTATATTCCTCTAATTGGTTGTAAAATGTCCAGTCATTCAGGGAAAAAAGAAAAGCTAGTATAAACAATTTACTAAGATTAAATTTGATTCAATCTTACTTTGGTTTTTAAATCTTTCTTTGTATATGTTAGTCTAAATAATAGTTGTACTGAATTGAAAATAAAAACAAAATAACTTCTTTCATGACCCAGATGAGATTTTAAAAGTATTGGTAATGTTAGAATGCGTGGTAAACATGGACTTTCATGCCTGAATAAAAAAAAATGGATTGTCAAAAGGACAGTTTTTTTTTCCATGACACTGATTTTAACTGCTCCTCAGTAATGTTTATTGTTTTAAAAAGCAATGATTAGAATTTTAGTAAAACCTAAACATATGATGAAAGTAAATTTATACATTTTTTGTTCTTGAGAATTTACAGCAAAAAATATTAAACACTATTTATTCGATTGTTTATTTACAAGATTAATTTTATATTTACAAAATTCTAAAAACTAATTCAATACAATTTTTATCATCTACTAATTTATAAAAGAAATAAATATGAAAACAAATTTTTATTCATAAATTTATAAACTTTTAGTAAATTAAAATATGTGGATCAGTGAATAAGTAAATCACTATTATTTACAATTTTATAAAGTTTGAATCAATTGGCAATTAGCTGATATTTTGCCAACCATTCCAATAAGCAATACAATAAATATATAGTGTAAATGAACAATCTAATAAATAGTGTTTATTATTTTTGTTGTAAATTCTCAAAGAAAATGTATAAATTTACTTTCATATTTAGGTTTTATTACAATTCTAATCATAGTTTTTTAAAACAAACACTGCTGAGGAGTGAAGGTAGTTAAAATAATAGTGGTGTCATAGGAAAAACTGTCCTTTTAACAAACTTTTTTTTTGCAGCCATGAAGATCCATGTTTGCCAAGTACATATTTAGTTTTTGTTCAGCTTATTAAATTTTGTTTTCTTATATTTTTCAAGAATTGATTTTTTTTTTTGAGATATCATCTTTGTTTATTGGTGGGTCAACTATACTCACTACATAAGCAAGGTTGAAACAATCTGTTCATCTTGTATTTTACTGTGGTTTACTTAATTCAGCAACGTTGCAATCAAGAAGTTTGGCTCCATAATCAAATATATTTTGTATAGATTAGTATCAAACAAAAATGAAATTAGAAAAGGTTAACAGATTGGTAGTAAATACATATACACCTATTTCAAATATTTATATTGGTGCTATCATAAAAAAATGCATTCAATTAAACAGCTTTGACAGCTTTTTCTTGAAAAAGTAGAAAGTTTTAATAAGCACATATCAGTATCAAAGCTGTCTTCTCTCTCCTAGGTTATTTAACACCTTTTCTGAATACATCATATGATAGACTTGCAGAATGCCAGGGCACACTCAGCATTGAAGTCATAAAATCACAAACCTTCACTTTGCAGATGACCTAGACAGTCTAGCTGGCAAAGAAGAAGAACCTGGATAAAATATGCTCTAGATATGGCATGGAGATTAATTCAGAAAAAAAAAAAAAACTCCCAATAAACAATGAGAATGGGCTTTTAAACAAGATAGAATTTGGTGGTCAGGAACTTAAAGTAGTAAACAAATTCAGTTATCTTAGTTATCAGCAAGGATAGCTCTAGAATAGAAATAATTTCAACAGCAGCATAAACAGCTGTTACAAAAAGCAAGACCAGACTGTTGCATGCATTGTCCATTAATTTTTCTGTATGCCTGCAAATCCTGTAAAACAGAAGAATTACAATGAATAATCCAAGCATGAGAAATGAAATACTACAGAACTATCGTAGAATTCTCTTACATAGCGTATCACAAATGACACAGTACAAAAGCCGATCAAGCAAGAAACAGGCCTGTTAGAAGTCTTCTTAATCATCATTGAAATGGCCACATAATAATCTTCCGATTTTGTCATTCTTAGGAAAATGAAGAAAAGATAGACAGAGGAAAAAAAATATGAGCTGACAAAGTCTATGACTGGACTGGAAGATTATTCAGAGACTCAAACATATGGAGGGAGCTAGTCATTTGCAGAGAAACCCTACAATCACACACATTCATTTAGCTGATAATGATGGTGTGACCCATCATGGAAGATCTTAAACCTTGGTTTAACATTCTTAAAAAAATACAGTTTCCTTTTCTCAGATAGGACTTCAGTCATTTGACAAAAATCAAAGTAATTACATGTGAAAAGTGTCAG